TATGCCATCTTTTAGAGAGAAATATGACCCATTATCGAGATCCGGCTTCTACAAGATTGTTTGCTCATGTAGGCGATGTCATATTGGTAAGACATGCCGACCTATTCGACAAAGATTGGGAGAACACAAATATACATGTAAGGGAAGCTGGGTCCAACAGTCAGAAGTGGCCGAACACATGGTAGAAACTGGACATGAAATAAAATGATTTCAAACTAGTAAGTTTGCTGATTATGGTACGTCTGTGATTAAAAGAAAATTAATAGATGCTATTGAAATTAATAGCTAAGGAAATATATAGCATGTTAGGAACGGTGGGAGAAAGTTGAGCCGCCGTCAAAAAGAAGGCTACTCAATTTGTCTGCTCGATGATGGTTCTACTTTCATTCACATTCGTCCAAAATGTCACAGCAAGCTCATCAATCAAACCAGGCCTTTCAGATTACGCAACCCCAGTCTTGCCTTTCCTTGAAGGGTTAAACGTTAATGACCCTAGACTGAAAGGTTAGGAAAAATGGTTTAGTAACTTGATTTTCATGCTTACACGCTCATATCTCATCATTTCAACTATACTTGTTTACGGACCTACGCAGTCTCAGTCTAGGCTTTCTCTTGCGTCATTAGGTCTTGAGGATAAGAACCTAAGATTAAAACTTTGACAACTCTGATTTATGAACCGTATTGCGTATAGAAGCTAACTTGCAAAAATTCACATATTCATACATTTGAGCAAAAATAACAGGACCAGTATGAAAGAAAATCAACTAAACTACTCTATATCGATCTATCAAGGTTTTTAATTTTCTTTTAGCCCAATTGAGTCTATATAAGAAGTAAGATAGAGCCGGGTAGTGTTTTTGGCATAGTGTGAACGTGAGACTCTTACAAGAATGAAACCCAGCTCTGATGGCGTTCATAATATGATGGACGAAAGTTCAGCACGTTTTCACCCAAAACGAGGGAGGAAGTCTTATGGACTGCGCCAACATGAATATCGTCTAAAAGCCAAACGGCTGCAGTACAACGAGATTCATCCCTCCTTATCTGGTGAGATCAACCAACTAATCTTTTCTTCATTCATTTTCATACGAGCGGAAAGTCCCCTTAACAATATTATCTTAAGAGATTCATCGAAACCCAGTTTCTCTTCATAATTTCTTTTGCCAACTGAGCATAGACAATATATAATCCTATTAACTTTGAGGTCTTTTAGATAAGACGGTCACCAAAGGTTTTTCAACTAGCCACTTTTTTGACCCTATTCATGGCCTATAAACGAATGTCGCAATTGCATCTTCCTTATGAGAAGCATCAATCTTCTGCTATAGTCTAGTTTTAGCGTACATGGCTTCACAATTCCGAACTTTAGATTTTTGTAAGAATACAGAAAGTGGTGAATATAATCTGGGAATCAATGACGCTGCATATTTATAAATGTTAGACCTAGTTATGCTTAGACATGGAAAATAGTATTTATGCTTTTGTTAGCGTAATCAAGAGTTATCAATCTATGGAACTGCGGGTCTAAATAAGGAGCAATTTAGCAAATAAGTGAACATACACATAAAGGGTTTTCGCTAGAAGACGAATTTTCTAATCCCGCAGCGGAAGTTTGTCTTGTCATTCCGTTGTCATCTGTGGTCCTATATGACCCACTCTGAGTTTGGCTGGGCACAAATGTCTGATGGTTCACAGCTGGATTAAATAGCACCGGCTTAGAGGCATCCTCATGCAGAGCAGTCAGAGAGAGCCCAGTCTCCTTCGCCGAAGTGAAGCTGGATGGGCTTAGGCAGCCTAAACTACTCAAAGTGGTGACGATCGGTGACTTCGGGAGAAATGTCCGAGCGCCATAGCTTGTCACACCATCAGAGTCACTTATCTTCTCATCGGCTGCAAAGAGCCCCGGCCCCAGTGAGACTTGATTTTGGACGCCTGGACTCCCAAAGTAGGATTCGTTATTTAGCTGGGCCTCCAGGCGGCCTGATTCGGCCTTCATGGCCAACTGGAGAATACGATGAGCGTTGACGTTGGAGGAGAATGGATATGGCGGACGAAGACAGGCCAGCGGATTGGTTGGGGATTTATCATTACAAACCAGCTGGACAGCCGTGAAAGCAGGAGCATCTGAAGTGGAGCGTCTAACGGCCAGAGGAGGGTACCGCTTAATCAAGTCTGACTGACGGTATTTCTCCTTCAGAGAGGCCAGCGAAGGTATTGCCCGGGCTGCTGTCAAATACACTGGCGACGTTTCTTGGCATCCTGTAGACACATTAACTGTAGAACATGTGACGGTCTCGCAGCTGGCCGGCTTTGACGTACCATTGTCGAGCCGAGGCTTTTTAGAGTCCCTGACAATGCCGGATTGACCGGCATCTTGATCGTCGAGTGCTCGTTTACTATACAAAGGAGAAAAGGCACCGTCTTTTCCGCTTGTCTTTTCTTGTGACTGAACTTTTGGGTCGGTTCCTTTGTCGGTTTCGCTTTCGCATTTATTGTCACAATGCAACGAATTTTCATTGTCTTTGCTTTTGTCAAATAGCTTGATTGTCCTGTGCAATCTTCCATTTTTATGGCACAAGGACATGACTATATTCTCTCTAGTTACGCTTGTAATTCCGTTTTCTCGCTCTCTCTTTCCCCTCTGCTCCTCCAACTCCGTATCTGAGCTCACCTTTTGCTCTTCCTCCTCTGCTCCATCCTCCTCATCTTCTTCGTCTTCATCCTCCTGCTCGTCTTCTACTCCCTCTTCTTCTTCTTGACCATCCTCCGCCCCATCCTTTTCCGGCCTATGCAAGCCTCGTTTCTTCAAATTACGCCTATACAATTTTAACTGAGAACGTAGTTTGAGGCGAATTTGGCGCGAGTCAAAGCTAGGAAACTGACGCAAGCAGGCCTCTTCTATCAGTCTTAGCCTGAAAGGAGGCTGATCCAAGACAGCCAAGCTGCGGTCTAAGTAACGCTCCGCTAACAGTTTGACGAATAACTAAACGAAAGCATGCAAAAGAAAAGGGAAAATAAGTTGGAGTCATATGAAGTTTAACCATCATACGATCTAAGTCTGATCGCCTAACCAGAATCGGCATGTAATTGTGGCAAATTGCCACAGTATCTTCGTGGCCTTTTCTTTAGAACTTTTTGTATAGATTTATTATCTACATCAATCCTTCTAGGGTTGATAACTATCGGATAATGGTGGTTCGGCAATTTCAGACATTAAAATTTGTCAGGA